GTGACTTCAGTGTCATCTACATGGTTTAGAAGAGCAGCCATAGACACACCAGGGTCACCATCCGAAGCACCACAAAAAGCAGAGACGGAGGCCAAGCTAAGCAGATGAGCAAGCAGGGGATCTAAAGTCCTCAGGCATGGAGGTTTACTGTCACTCGGCCTAACAGAACACAGAGGCCGTCATTCTGATTTTCACAGATAAAGAATCGGAGGCCACACCACAGCATATTAATTGCAGATCCAGAGCAGCCACACACCTCTTCCTGTTACAGCCTGTTGTGGCTTCCTAAGATTGATCCCCTCCTGTGAGCAACTATGTCTCCAAACTTCTTAACACACCTGTCCCCAGAGATGGCTGAGTGATATATGCAACTAAAAGGATTCTCAGGAAGGTGCCCTGAGAAAGAATGCTCAAGTGTGTGTGTGTGTGTGTGTGTGTATGTGTGCAAATATGTGTGCACGTGAGTGTGTGTATGTGAGTGTTTTCATGTGTGTGCGCATGTGTGTCTGTGTGTGTTCGTGTTTGTGTGTGTGTGCACGCACTCGAGTGTGCAAGTGTGTGTTCACGTGTGTGCGCATGAGTGTTTGTGTGCACTCGAGTGTGTTTGTTTGCATGTGTGTGTGCATGTGTGTCTGTGTGTGTGTCTATTTGTGTGTGTGTCTATTTGTGTGTGTGTGTGTGTGTGTATTGAGAGGGTGGCCCAATTTCAAACAGTGTTATTGGGGTTCTGGGGTTCAGAAGAAGAACCACAACACAATGGCTGAGCACACAGGATGAAAAGCCAAGATGAGCTAACCTCAAACCCAAGCCCCACTGTCGACTCCACTATCTTAGAGCCTTATTCTCCTACCTATAAAATGGGAACAATAACTAAACCCCCCAGAGACAGGAGATGAGGACAGCGTGTAGTCCAGCCCTGACTCACAGGAACAGTCTCAAGTGTTTATACCATGCACACATCATGGTCACGATGGACTAGAACAACAGCTTTCCTGGGGAAGAGGCAGGTGCAGTCTGAACTGTCCCCTCCCAAGCAGTTTGAGGAAAGCTGCCCCAGCCCAGACAGTGAACATAGTCTCACTTCGGAGATCTCAGACCTGGCCCGCCCACATCCAAAGAGGGATCAGGATCAGCTGGGGAAATGCAGCCCACAGATCCCAAGAGCATTTATCTGAAAGTCCAAAGTGCTTTAGAAGAGCCCATGGCTGAGGTGATTTTGGAAGCTGTTTATCGGGCCAGCTTCTCATCAGCACAGGCGGGCTTGGTACTCAGTTAGGGTGGGAAGCAGAGCAGAGAGGAAAGGAAGGACTGGCAGATAACGGTGGAGGGACTAGACGACTAGACATAACACTTGTTCTCCTGCAACAGGGACAGGGCTGCCCACTGAGGTAGGAAAGGAAGAAAACAACCAGAAGACCAACTTATTGACAATATACCACCCCTAACCACCAACAATGGGAAGATAACTGTTTGCTGTGCTGAGTATTTTACAAGGATCATCTCATTGAGGGACCACTGCAGGCTGAAGGGAGAGACTGCTAATTCTGAACATGGAAGACACCAGAAGGTGGGTGACCTAAGGTCACATAATTGACAAGCAGATAGAGAGAACTTAAACCCAGATACTCTAATCACCATGATTAGAGTATCATAAACAGAGAGCCCGAGGCTCAGAAAGGACAGAGACTTAGTTGAGGTCACACAGCCTTATCTATGGCAGATCAAGCCTTCTAATTCCTGGTTCTCTGGGTTGTCTACTCAATTGTGTCTAGTCACAGCACTCATGAGCCTGTTTCTGCTTATGTTCAACCCAGAAGTCAGGGATCTACTGAGAGCCTGTGTCAGCTGCAGACTCAGGGTTCACCATGTCATTCCATCTCTCTTTGTAAAAAACAAAAACAAAACAAAAAATAAAAAAACAAAAACAAAAAAACCCTTGTGATCTGCCCCACTCTGTCACCTAGAGCACCGACACTAGTCTAAGGTACCAGTCCTGGTGGCAGGAGGAACCGAAGCTGGCATGCTTGCCTGAGGACATCAGGTTGCAGGGATGTGGATCAGTTGCCATCATCTGTTCCCTAGGACCAAGTGCTGGGTTCTGCACGCTCTCTATGGAGTCCCAGCTGAGTTCAGACAAAAGGTCCTGATTCCCTTTTGCAGTGGCTGATGACATGGGCCAGAAGAAGACCTCTCTCAACAGGGAGGCGTTGCTAAAATGTGTGGTCCAGCCACAAGCCCTGGCTCTTCCCAGGGAATGGGGGCTAGATAGGCATCCAGACAAAGACACCTGCACCAGCTGCTGTAACACTCCTAGCAGGGATGGGTCACAACATTTTCTTCTCTTTACCCCAAATTTCTGGACTGATCCACACAAGCTGAACGACTACCACTGGGTGTGAATCCACTGGGTTCTAGTACCAGAGACTAAGCGAGAGGAGGTCAAGCACCCTGGAGAAGCAGCAGCATCTGGTTCAGCTAGACCAGAGGCAGCATCCAGCCTGGCTGTCCAGAACCCCAGAAGTCTTCCCTAGGTTTAAGTCACAAGGTCCCCATCCCCAGAGCTGTTTACAGAGAGGGAAGCAGAGCCACTGGAGAAGGGACTCACCCAAGGCCTCGATGAGAAGCTAACTGGCTAGGTTTCAAATCTGTCCTTTCCCCTCTACCAGCCCCTTCCCACAAATGCCCCTAATACCTTGACTCCAAACCCAGCCAGCCCCAAGCCCAAAGCACTGAAATGTCATTTAGATGGTAGAAAACTATTCCCAGGCTGGCATGTTACTAAAAGTTTGGGGGAGGGGTCTTCTAGATTCAGATCAGTCTGTCATAGGTGCAAGTCCAGAGGTCTGTTTCCTCAAAGCTCCCTGGAGATTCAATGATTGGCTGGCATTTTGGACTCGGGGACAGAGGAGACAAAGAAATGAGCCTGGGCTTGAATTACAGATAAGTCAGAGACTGGGGAAGCTACTTGGAGTTCAAGAGACAGGACCAGAGGCATGAGCAACTCTGGAAGGTGAAGAGCCTCTGTGTCCTCTTCAGTGTGGGGGTTGGGGTGGATAATGAGTAAAGAGAAGAGACAGAAAGAAAAGAATATGCAGGTCTTAGGGTTGGGGACATGCTAATACCCAAGTTCTAGGGGTGGGAGGGGCTGTCCTACTAGACTTCACACACACACACACACACACACACACACACACACACACAAAATCATTAAAACCAAAACAAACAACACACTTCTTTTGTTTTCTCGAATGTCTTAAAAACAAACCCAGAGACAAGGGCTCCTCCCCTCTTTCCTTTGCCTCTCTGTGTTGGCTCTGCCATTTCAAACAGAAGCCAGCCTGATAGATAGGATGATCCGTCTGATGGAAACTTTGTCCTGGACCAGGGCACTAGCTGTATCCAATAAACACATGTGGCTTCTACCCAGTCTAAAGGCAGAACCCCATGTGTATCTTTGGAACCCATTCCCAACACTTTAGTGTGTGTGTGTTTGTGTGTGTGTGTTTGTGTGTGTGTGTGTGTGTATTGGGATGTGTGGGGTAGCTTATATGGTGAGCACAAATTTCTAGCAAGGACACATAAAAACTTTCAGTCAGTGTGAAGCCACAGTCTCTGGTGAGCTCATGTGTACTCTCTTGGGGGAACAGAGGGGAGTTTAGACAGAAGAGGAAACACCAGTCCCTACAGAGTCCCCTCCACATGAACAGCCCTACACACAACAAAGATGACGCTTTCCACAGACTATGGCAGTCAGCATGTCTCTTTCCACCAGCACAATACAGCAGTCTAAGAGCACAGGAAGGAAGGTGAGTTTTCACCAGCATGTGAAACGTGATCAGATAGATGCATGTGGGACCTCAGGCCCAGGACATGGAGAGCTATCGATGATGGCTGGAGAGTATAACCCTTTTGATGAAACCATAGAAATTCCTATGCCCCTAATGTACCTATGCCCAGGAAGAAGACAAACCCTGCCCACGACGCCCAGAGATCTGGCTGGGACCAGGACAAAAGATGCTACTTTTACAAAATGGCTGGGTTTCAGTAACTTCAAGTAAATCCCAACTAATGTTCTATCCCATTGTTTCCATGCTGGCTTGCTGTTCACGTAAAGTTTCTTTTGTTGTTCTGTGTGTAAATTGTTCACTCATCCTTGCCAGCAGCCCAACTTACGATCTGTCTGATCGTTGCACACCAGTCTCATAGTGGGACCTTCCGCCCTATTCTCTGGGACAAAGTGGGGAGCTCCTCCAGACAGACCCCACACTCCTTGTAGCTCTCGGTCTGAGAAGCTCCTAGGTTGGTCTGGAAAGCCGTTCGGGCCGGAGAAGGGCGCCCCCTGGCGGGACAACTCCCCTAGCGCAAGCAGGACACGGAGCCCGCGCGCGCCCACCTCGGCCAGCCACGCTGGGAACCCGCGGCCACCACACCCCACATCCGGCCGCAAGGAGCTCCGGACCCGCCCGTGAGCTTCTTGGGTCTCCACATCCACGGAGCTGGACACCTTCCAGAGCAGGGAATGATAACCTGGGTGCGAGAGCAAATCTAGGAGCGTATCCTGGCCCGCTACCAGGGTCCCATGAAAGCGACGAGCGCTCTGTGTCCCAGCCCGATCGGCGATCCGCCGCACCCAAGCTTGGCTCTGAGTCCCCCGTCGTCACCTACCCCTGCCCAGGGTCACCTGGGCTCACCTCTTCACTCTCGGTACAGCCCCGACCAACACATCAGCCCTGGGAGTCCCACCTGCCGCCTTACTGTCGCCTGAGCCCCCGAGATCGCCGGCCGCAGAATGGCTGCACCTGACCAGGGCGAAGACCGCGACTCGAGCATGCTCGGGGGTCACTCAGTGCAGCGCTGTCCCCGCCCGCAGGGGAGTCGCAGCAGAACTTGGGGGCCGCTTCTCCGAGCGTCCTGGGACCCGCATTGGTCCGGGATCTCCCCTGAAGCGCGCGGTGTCCCAGGGCCAGTACGCACAGAGGGGCTTAGTGATTGAATCCTACCTGGCAGAGACTCGGCCGCGGGGTAAAGTTTCCCTAGGCGCAGAGTGCGCTCGCAACTTGCGGAGCACCGGTAGTCCTGCGCCGCGGCGCTGGGCAAGGCGTCGAGGCGACGAGGAGTGGCGACGCCCGCTGGGGGCCAGGGCCGGGTGGCGTGGCGTGGCAGGGCTTCGGAATCGCACAGCTTTGCGTCCGCCCGCAGCCTGCAGCCCCTGAGACGCCGGCGGCAGCTGCAGAGGCTCACCCGCCACCGCCGCCGGCCACACCTCCCGCCACCCTCCGGCCCGCCCTCCCGCTCCCTCCGCCCCAGCCTCCGCCCCTCGGTCTCCTGTCGCCACTACTGCCGCCAGCGGTGCTGGCGCGTCTGGCCCTCATGGTCCACGGCCGCTCTCTCACCCGGTCCTAGGGCGTGATTTCTGGGACTGTGCTCTCCCGATGTCCTCTGCACTCCTAGCCTCAGCGTCTGAATTTAGGAGATTGCTGGAGGAGGACGAAAGTGGCACGCTGGACTGGGACATTTGTTCCCTGGAAGCTCTCTCGCTGTCATCACACCCTGTGTGGGACTGCAGGGCTGGGATGTGGGATTCTCCATTGCGATGTCGCCCCTTGGTTTCCCACTTGCTGCCAGGGGAGTACTGGGTAGGAGCCTGTGCAGCAAGCTCTATTTAGGGTCATTGTTGGTGACTGCTTCTAGCCTGGCGAACCTCCCAACCCCATCAGCTGTAAATTATAGCACTGCTAAGGATCAGACCTGAGGCTCTCACCTCATCCTCTTCCCCCACCCTGGCACTGGGGTTCACTGAGACAGTTAACCTATGCCATACAGGGCCCATACAAAATTCACAAGAGCCACTACCTAAGAGAAACTCATGAGAGGGCTCAAATTGCACTCCTGTTCCCTCGTTGGCAGCAATTATCTGTGTCTCAGCTTTGAAAAGTCCTGTGAGGCTACACACACACACACACACACACACACACACACACACACACACACCAAACTACATTCTACAGGAGAGCGCTTAGCCCACTGATCTCATCCAAGACAGACATTCTGACTTCAGTGTGGAAGCTGGTGAGGTCCGCATGTTAGACAGAGTTTTGAAGGGTAAACAGAAAAACAGACTTGGTCTTTTCAAGCCCACAGTCCAAGAAGTAAAATGTCTAAGGTCTCAGGGCTATTCCTTTGAACCACTTCACAGAGTCAAGAGAGAGGCCAAGGAGGGGAGTTGCCAGAGTGGCCTGTAGTTGCTAGAACAGGGGACCAGCTGCATAGGTATGGAAGTCTGTTGATATATAGACACCTCTTCAGCTTTCCAAACAGAGTCAAGGGGAGGCCAAACCCTCTGGCTGAGAACCCCCACAGGCTCCTTACTCAAGGCTGCTGCTGTAAAAGACTACTGCATGGGTCTCCTGGGAACAGTGAAGCATCACAGAAACTTAAGGAGAATCAAGCCTTGAGGGAGAGGGCTCAGGCTTGGCAGACAGGAGGGGCCTTTAAAGTTTAGCTTTGGTAAAGGCAAGCACAGAGTAGTTTAGGGGAGACGGTACAAGCTGGGGACCAGCAAGATGGCTCACTGCTTACAGGTGCTTGCCACCAGGCCTGACACCTGAATTCCACCCCAGAACCAACTAAGTAGATGAAGAAAAGACTGGGCTGGCTGCACATCTCCCATCCAGCTGGGACAGTGGTTCTAGCTCCTGGCCTCAGTCTCCTTCTGCCTCCTTGAGAACGTGAGCCTGACACGCCCCGATGAGGGCTGCCTGCTTAAGTGCTTTCTTTAAATCAGCACTTATTTTATATTTTGTTTTACTTAAATGAGTTTGTTTTTAAACAGTGATATGTTCTACCACGGCCATAAATGGAAAAGCAGTGTCGGATTGCTATAAATAGAAGGGTATCATAAAACAAATACAGTTAGAATAAAATGGTGTCATTAAACTCCAACAACGGATCTTCAGTCATAATAAAAGAAAGTGTAACAAGATCCCGCTGGCTGCTTTGGCTAAGCAGGGCTGAGCATCCACAGGCTCACTCCCTCCTGGAGTTCAGTGAGCGCCAGAAAGGTTACTAAGGTCATGTCAGCAACCAACTTGGGACCCCCTCACATCAGGAAACATAATACCTGTATATCAGAGACAGAAAAGTGCCCTTTTCTCCCCCAGAATGGGGACTTTGGAAGTTTAGTCCCATGAGACATAAGACCACATTTTGTTCCTGGGAGAGCTAATCTCCTATTCACAGAGCAGTCTTAGTCTTAGTGATTCCACATGCAAATTTGAGCAAACAACCTGTAGGATCCCTTCAATTGTTCTGTCAGGAGAGTAAGAAAGTTCCCCAAATGGTGGCTTATCAGTTTTCAGGCAGGCAATGGAATATTCCAAGGGGAGAGAGTGGAGAAGGGAGAGGGACAGCCCAGGGGTAAAATGGAAGGATCCGCCAGCCCTGACCAAGGAGAGTTCAGGTTAGCATGGACCCAGGAGCAATCTTGCTCAGAAAGTTGTAGATTCTTCATTTGCTCACTCCAAAGAAACCGTGTGGAGAATTCACTGTGGAGAATTCACCAGCTACTTCACTGTCTAGATGGGGATGCTGGGAAAGAATAGCAGGCTTGACCAATGAAAAGCTCAGTGATGGCCTGGGCCTCCCGAATCCTACCTAGGTCAAGACCCCCTAACTCCCTGCTTTAGGGGGGATTTCAATAGTTAATACTGCCAATTTGACAGAATCTAGACTCATCTAGAAGATGAATCTCTGTTTTGTCTATGAGGGAGTTTCCCAGTTGAGTTAATGGAAGTGGGAGGATAGTGGGCAGCGCTAGCAGGGGGAGGGGAGAGAGGGTGGGGAGGGGGGGAGGGGAGAGGGGGAGGGGAGTGGGGGTGGGGAGTGGGGGTGTGGGAGGGGAGTGGGGGTGGGGAGTGGGGGTGGGGTTCACGACTGAGTAAGAAGAAAGGGGGCTGAGCACCCACATCTCATCTCTCTGAGCCTCGATGGCAGATGAACGTGACCAGCTGTCCTGCCTTCCTGACCATGTCTTCCTGGTGATGGACTGTCCCTCCAAACTGTGAGCTAAAATAAACCCTTGCTTCTCTAAGCTGCTGCTCTCAGGCATTTTGCTGTGGCAACAGGAAAGTAATACATGAAGAATGGAAGAAATGGACTTTGAAAATGCTTACCTCTCCCCTCAAGGAGTTCTTTTGGAGTTCTTTTCTCTAGCACCTACAAGAAGAAAAAGCCCCAAATGTCCCGTTGGCCTAAAAGTCTCAAATCTGTCAGAATCAGCTTGGCCTGGACAAGTCAGGTGTTGGGACTCAGTCCCTGGACAAGGGACACATGGGGAAATGACATCCTGCACAAAGAGCCCTGAGCCAGTAGCTAGGAGTCTGCAGCCTGGACCTCTGCCCTCACCAGGCCTCAGTGCTCCCAACTGGAACATGAGGCTCCAGATGTGAACATGGGTTTCCGCTGGACCATCAGACCCTGCTCCAATACCCTGAGAGTTATGAAAAAGGGCAGAAACACCATCTCCTGTCTCCGGCTCCACCAAGGCCTTTGTCGTGGGCTCTGTGCCACTGCAAACTACTTAAGATTTAAGAGAGCATGTGTCTTTACAAAGAAAGGGTTGAAAGCATAGGAAAGAATGGCAAGGGACTCCAGCTTTGTAATGTTAAGGCCATTAGACAGTGAGCTTCTTAAAGGGGAGTGCTGCCTTGCTTCCAGGACCCCAAGTGAAAGTTACCCTCAGGCATTGCATAGAGAATTCCCACCTGCTGACTGGGGTAGGCCACTTAAAAGCTCTGGTCTTTTTTTCCATCCTTCTTTCCTTCCTTGCTTCCTTTCTCCTCTCTGTGTGTGTGTATGTGTGTGTGTGTGTGTGTGTGTGTGTGTGTGTGTGTGTGTGGTGTGTGGTGTGTATATGTATGTGTTGTGTGTGTATGTGTTGTGTGTGGTGTGTGTATGTATGTGGTGTGTATTTGGTGTGTTGTGTGTCGTATGCATGTATGTGTTGTGTGTGTGTGTGGTGTGTGTATGTGGTGTGTGTGTGTGGTGTGTGTATGTATGTGGTGTGTGTGTGTATGTGGTGTGTGTGTATGTGGTATGTGTGTATGTGGTGTATGTTGTGTGTGTTGTGTGTATGTGTTGTGCACGTGGTGTGTGTGTATGTGGTGTGTGTGTATGTGGGGTGTGTGTGTGTGTACACAAGACAACAGTATACATGCCCCAACACACATGTCTCAGAGGACAACTTTGGTAGATGATTCTCTCCTACCATGGTTCCAGGGACTGAAGTCAAGTGGTGAGGCTTCCTTCACTAACAGCTTATTCTTGCCAGCCCAAGCCACCTAATCTTCCCAAAGGCACCACGGTGGTTATCCTCCTGGCACTGTGGGTGATGAGGTTCTCAAGGAAATCTCTGGCACACATTCCCTAGTAGGTAAAGCTACTCCTGAAGGACATCTGCCAGCACAGGCTCTCCCCACCCCCACTCCCACCCCCAGGTGGTTGACCTCTCAATCTAATCTAGCTTCCCTGAGGCACTTGAAAATTTTAATCACTGCCTCCTTGATTTTTTTTTCTGAATTGTCTCCTTTTATGTGTAATTTGCAATCATTTCCCAAAACACTGACAGTTCATTAAATGTACACTCAAGAGTGATTGCATTTGTTTATCTTCCCAAAGCCTCTCACAGGAATGAATTCCCAGGTCCCAAGGACGCCCCCTGAGTTTGGAGGGATGCATTTTTTGTATTTCCAGGTCTTAAAACAGTTGTAAACCCTAGACTTTCTCCCATTTTTCCCATGCACTGCTCCAGCCCACGCCCCAACCAAGTTTTTGAGGTTTTAGCACAAACCCTCCAGGGACCACTGCCTTCTCCCACCTGGAATACTACTAGAAATAGGGGATATTTGAATGTGCACAGGCATGCGCACACACACACACACACACACACACATACACACACTTTACAGAAAAGGGGCAGGGGTCTGGAGCCTCTACTGGGAGGGGCCATCATCCAGTTTCTTGTTGTGCTCTGTGGCTAAGTTGTCTAGAAAGCAAGCTTGAGGATAACAACAAGAATCCCTACCTGCTGCCCTTCTGTGCCACTTCTGAA